TGGAGCCGTGCTCGCAGCCTCGCTTAATACGCCTCATTAAGGCTTAAGAGCGTGCTTAGCCAGTCGGCCATAACGTCACGCTTATTAAATACAACTTTAATTACGCACTAAAATCCGTTATTCTCGTCTTTTTTTATGCTCCGTACACACTGACTCTGCTCTGCCCGCACCTGCGCTCACCTCTGTCCCGCAGACACGGAAATCTCTGATGGCGGCATCAGCTTCAGTGCCGGCCATCGGCAATTGCTCTGCCTGGCACGTGCCATACTGCGTGGCTCCGCCTGCCTGGTGCTGGATGAAGCAACAAGTACATTGGACAGCAGCACGGAGCGGGCGCTGCTCAAGGCGGCCGACAAGGCCTTCCAGGGTCGAACAATTATAACCATTGCCGTGAGTTGAGCTGAGCTGAGCTGAGCTGTGCCTTACTCCCTGCTCAGTCTATCGTCATCATCATCATCATCATCTCTGCTTTCTTTATTTACAGCATCGCCTGAGCACCATTCTGGATTATGAGCGCATTATAGTGATGCAGGAGGGACGCATCGTTGAGGACGGCAATCCGAGGCAGTTGCAACAGCAGCCGGACTCCATTTTTTACGGCCTGCTGCAGAAGGGCGAGCAGCTGAATGCCTAGATCTAGCGAAGATCTGCTCGGCTCGATTTCCGGATTTCTGTTTCATTTGGGTCTGATACTGAATGCGTTTATTGTGCTAGCTAAGTACTTAAGTAAATTGTTTAAACAAGGATCAAATGAATATTGAATATTGTGTGTCAAATGTGATTCATCTTGTATATCCATATATATGTACATATATATTTATTATCACTTTTATATATTTTGAAATGTCTACAAGTATTCTGCAGTATTTTTTTCATTTATTAAAAAAAACGAGCTGTTGTCAAATGCAAACATTGAGTTTCTAACGGCCAACTGGCAACGGTGCGTATGCGCTACGTGACCACGTGACAATACGTATACGCAGCATAGGACGAATCGTATATATAAATACATATATATGTATAGCTGTCACACATATGATATATGCACGGATATTTGATTTTTTGCAACGGGTAAATCCATGTGCATATACTTCTGTTATATTAAGTAAGAATGTGTGTCCTCTCCACTCTTTGCTTTGCTTTGCATTGCTTTATTTGTTGCAAGTGACGTGTATTTGTACTCCAATGTGTGTGTGTGTGTGTGTGTGTGCTAGCCGCAGAGAGCCCACCAATTGCACGAAATGCGAACGTGACTCAAGTCAACTAAATGGGAATTTAGAGAGCTTGCGTCAACTTAAAGACCTACACCTGAAAATACTTTGAGGAAATCTTAGATAAATAAATGCAGGTGAGTATTAATTTGGCACAAAAATATATTTAGAAAAAATAATATATATTTTTTTTTAAATATTTTTATATATTAAAGAGTTTTAGTTATAAAAAGAATTCTATAATATAAACAAAAAATTCGGTTTTAAAGTGGAATTCCGAAGGATTAATGATTTTATATTAATCTTTACACATGAAAATCTTTTAATAACAGTTTTAAGCCAAGATTAAATAAACAAAAATCAATAAATAAATTATAAATGAATAATTAAATTATAATTTAATAAATAAATTATAAATTAATATATAAATCTCTTAAGTAAAAATTTAAATTCCACCAAAATAATTAAATTAAAGATATTTAAAAAATTTGTATATAAAAGTAAATTAAAAATTCAATTCAATTACAGCGTGATTAAATTAATGTTTTTAATATATGTACATATATTCAAAATCTCTAGAAAATGTTGTCTTTATCTTTTGTATTACACAAATTATTTTTTATGAAAATATGCCTATTTAATTCATAAAATATACATTTATAAGAAATCGCTCATTTTATTTTAGAGCTCATTCGTGGCTTTGACCCAACTAGTTGAAGGAGACGTAGTAAATCAATTGATTTACTCATAACGGCAATCGAATGGGCTCGCTTAAAATTTCAATTGGCAATTGGCAACGGAAAATTGGTAATTGGCAACTGCCACACTTGCAGCACTCGAGAAGCATGCAACAGAAACATGGCCACAAAACATGCTGTTGGTGTATCTAAATCAGTCCAATTAAAATAGGAAACGCAATCGGAATCAAAATCGGAGAAGCCGGAGCCGAATCACATCGGCTGGCCACTCAATAATTGCATGAATATGCAACGAAATGTGGCAACAGCATTTATGAATTTATGTGCAACGCGCCTTGGCTTACTCCATGCGCCTGGTCGGGTCGATGGGCCAGAGTCGGTCGACAAAAGCCATATTATTGTGAAGTAAATTGATTGTTAAATGGGCCTATTTTTGGGCCTGGCCAGGAGTGAGGGGGAAGGGGGGCGGGGGAGTGGGCGCATGGCAAGGAATTTTTGTGATTTCCTGCGTCCACTTTGTATGCATATTTGAAGTAGTTTGGCTTGAGGCCATTTAGCCTGCCGGCCAATTAAACTTAATTGGCAATGAGCAGCGGCTACCAAATGGTTAACGATTTTCTTTTCATTCAACACCCCCGCCCACCCAATCATTTTTTTCTGTGCGCAGCTTTGGGGTTTTATTTGGTTGTGCAATGCTGGAGCAGGGAAATTGGTTCGACTCTCTGGCAAAGTGGGTTAATTGATATGCAAGAGTGCGAGCAAAGAGAGCAGTTCGCGATTTGCAATGCACTTTTCACATACCTTGTTCCAGCCCCCTTCCACACACACCCACACACACATACAACTCCGCGATGCAGGTAGCGGAAAAGCGTTTCCCATTACAATTTCCCTTTTGATTTTAAACACATTTCTATAATTGGAGGTGAAAGCCTATTCCTTATGCCAATATGCCAAAGTAATAAGCGAGTGTGTTGGTTGTACCCGACTACGAAATACTCTGGGACTATGGAAATGTAGTCAATTTTATGTACATAGTTAGTCTGTATTAAATTTGGTAGCTAGTATATATTTCTGACGAGTTAAGTTTTTCTTATACAATTTACATATTCAACACCTAAATTATTTATATAGCAGCAAGCATACCCTTTACCCACTCAGAAATGGGCAAACAAATTTGAACGTAGTAAATAGCAAAAGAAAAAAAACTCAAATTTAACCAAAGAGCAGGCAAACTAAAGCAATTTTATGATTTCTTTGCTTTGATGTCACGTTTACTGTTGAGCGAAAGAGACAGAGATTGTGCAAGTGAATGATTGAGTAATATTGAGTCTCTTATCATGATGCATATTGCAATGATGGGTATGATGCTGGTGATGTGAATAAATGGTAGAATAAGAGAAATTGGCTTCATATGTATATGTACGAGCTCACTCAAATGAAAGCTCACCTCAGCAGACAATATTATTTTGAAGATTCTATTCTTTTCTTGATTCATTAACATGCCAATTATTATGCATACTTATATACATACACACATATAAATATTCTAAGGCTCAAGCAAGTTCTCTCTTTAAGCCTTCAAGAGCAAAAAACTCAAGCTTAACCAAAGAGAATGAATCTTTGCATATCAAATGTGCTCTCTTTACCTGTAGAGTGAGAGGGAGAGAGCATATGCAGGCGCTCTGGTGAATAAGTTGTTTGAGTAGTTGTGGTGGTGTAATCACACTCCAAACTTCACCTCAGTCGTGATCAGTGCCTCACTGAGCAAAAGCCATTACGCAGTAGCTGTTCTTAAATATCGTTGAGTTGAGCTTTGTGTTATTTTTTTCTGCTGCCAAAAATAAAATGATTGAAAGTGATTTGTGTATATTTAATACGTATTATATATAAATTATCAAACAATATTGAATTGCAGAGGATTTTTCAGTGGGTAAGTAAACATATTTAGCATATTTGTGTATGTGTATATGTATAAATAAATAAGTATAGAAAATCTCAACTTCTCTCACTCTCCACGCTCTTGGTTTAACTGCTTTCAATTGAGAATCAAATATGTACATTAGTATACTATAATTATATTAAATTTAACACGCTATATTAGATTGTTAAGTGCTGGGCAATAAATTATGCGCCAGAGACACTTTTTGACGCAGCGCGTTCGCATTAAGGGCGTGTTAACTGCTTTTGACTAATTGCCGAGGCGCCGCAAATCGTTGCCGAAACTTTGAGCCAGTTCCCCGGGTTGTTGACTGGGGGCCCCGCAGTCAGCCGCCATTGTGGCTAATCCGCATAATTGTCAGGGGCTGGCTTGCAGCCTGCCTGCCTGACTGCCTGTCTTCCTCGTTCTCTTCTCATCTAGCTCCTTGTGATGGCGGAATTCTCTCGTCATCGCCAGCGTCTCCAGCACTGTTAATCACTCAGGCCTCGCTGTCAGTTTGCTTGCTCTGCTTCAATCGCTCATACACACACACACACTCACACTCGCATAGAGTCGCACTCACACATAGGTAATTATATGCACAGCTAAGGCCATGCAAATAGCAACAATATTTTGCTCAAAACACCTCTCGCAATTTGCATTAAAGGGTTTCTTTTGTTTTGCTTGCCATTGTTGACTTTGCTCAGACTTCGTGTGTACCGTTATCTATTTGAGCACTGAGCTCTTTGCCCTGCCACAACTGTATTGTATGTTGCTCGTCTACACATGTTTTACTCCCACTCTCGCTCTCACTCTCGCTCTCGCTCGCTCCTCTCTCTATGTCGCTCTCTAACTAACCTATGTATACATTGGTTAATTCATTGTATTCGGCTCGCCTGCGTCGCGTCGTGAGTTGTTTTTTTTTTCTTAGTTAAGTTCTTTGATTTGTTGATTTATTTGCTGCTCTTGCTTTGTTCTTGTTCGTGTTTTGTGTGTGCGTGTATGTGTGTGTGTCTGCACGTCTAACTGCTTATGCTGACGCACTCATCAAGCTTTTGCTTATTTCTTTCTCTTTTGTTCAGGCATCTTCATCTTTTTGCTTGCTAAGGGATTTCGTCCCGAGTGACTTTTCGTATGCTCTAACTTTATTGATGGGTCACTGCAAATGATTGATTAAGTTCGATTGAGCGAATCCAAAGCTTAAATATTTAATTTGAATTCACTTTAAAATTATTTTCAAAAATGTTTAGTATCTAAAAAATACTAAAAAACAATTTCAGTTTATGGCATTTGTATTAGAAATATAATGAAATTATATGTTATTCATTCATTATATTTTATCATGCATGTAAAGCATGTAAATATTTTTTATATACTCTTGGCATTGACTTTTCTTTAAGTCTTTATTCTTAGTATTTCAATAAGCTGCTCAAAATCTTAGTCGAGCTTATTTAGTTTTGCGGACACAGAAAAAGTGTTGGAGAAAACTTCAAAAGCATTTTGTGTGCTAAGCTAAATTAAGCTGAAGGCAACTTTGATTCGGCTACACTGAATGAATGAGCGAGGACCTTGACTTTATTGTTTATCCTGGTCCGTGCCCCGAAATATGCTACGAATTTGTTTTTGCCTAATTTCCTTTACTCCGCTCTATGTATTTTTTGTTTGTTTGTTTTTTTGGCTTCTCTCTATTGTTGCTGATGAAATTAATTGTTTGCGTGCGAATACACATGTAAGAATAGGTGTGTATGTGTGTCAGTGACTGTGCATGTGTGTGCGTGTGAGGTATGAGTAAAGTGCTAGAAAAGCACTTAAGCAAAAAGTAAAAGTTGCAAGTTAATTATTTCATTAATTAGGCACGTTATGCTCGTCTCTTTTGCACACATTCTACCTATGTCTCTCGCTCGCTCTCTCTTTCGCCCTCATTGGGCATCCCTT